AATATATTACATTATAATATTATATAATAAAGCCAGCATCCAATATGAAGGAAATTACTAATTTAATGGCGGTAGTGGATTTTGTGTTTAGTATGGAGAAGATATTAAAAGGGATATTAAGAGTTTTAAATATGTTAACTAGAGTAATGCGTTTGGTCTGAAGGGCAGGGCAGTCGAAAAGTATATGAGATAAGTCACAGWTACATTCATTTAGGTGAAGTGTGCAGAATGGAGAATCATTAAGGCCAAGTTTGAAGGAGTGGCTGGGTAGAAGGTGATGTCCAATACGTAGTCTATTAAATTGTACGATATATGGTCTATGTAAATGTAAGTTATTAAACCAGGGTTTTTTTAGAATATTAGGTGTGATATTTCTGTATCTTGAGGCGAATTCTGCAGGTAGGTTGTTCCAGAGAGAGAACCAAGTGTTGGTGGAGTGTTGTTTTATCAGAGAACAACAATACTATATTACTATATTATATAGTTCATTTTCAATGCCTTCGAATACTGTGGCGGTGCCTGGCGGTATTCATGTTAGCTAAAATAGTGCCGTCGAAAAATRAGCCACTTTTTCACGGAGTGTTATCACCTTCTCTTCTCTATATTATCCGCCATAATATTATTCTGTGATAATATCCGTTTGTGGTTGTGATAAGCTGGTATCTCTATTCTCTGACGTGCGTGGTGATAACGGCATTTATTAATTATTTCGTGAAAATAACAACAACAACAATAATAATAATAATTTTTCCATTGCTGTTCTTCGCCACGAAGAACGCACTACGCTATTACGTWACGGTCACGATTCACTGCGTTTATTAATGTTAATAATTACCATTTACCACGATGTGAAGACAAATTATTAATTCCGTGACATTAAAATAATTTAAATTTATCATCTTTAGATACTAGCTGATACGCACTGCGTGTAAAATACCATAATAATATACAATTACACGGTAATAATAATAATATAGTGGGTGTGTGCGTGGTGTCGCTGCGTGTGCGTGCGTGTGGCAAGCCGTCGTGTTCGCGCGTTATCCGAGTTCCCAATTCCCAATCGGTTCGACCCGATAAAGAATAAATGCTCTGAGTGGCTGGCCTCCACCGCCGCTTTTCGACCGACTCGTCTAGATCATTATACGACGTGGCACGTTCAATGTTTATCATCCGTGTGTCACGCACCGCGTTGGTCTCGATCGCGATCCGCACTATGGACCGTCCACGTTTCAGAAGACGACACTCGACAACGTCCGCCGTCACCTCCTCTGTCGCCTACGATTCGAACGCCGACATCGTTTAACAGGTGTACATCACCACTAATCAGTACATCACCCCGAGTAGGAGATCCACGACGAGGATCAGTCAACCCGGGGCCAAAGTAAAGACCATCGCCGGTTGGACGCGGGACATGTAAAATCGGTCTTCCATCTGACATGTGTGGCGTCGACACCAAAATGGCCCAAACCAAAGCTCTGATATTGGTCGGCGGTTATGGCACTCGTCTGCGACCACTTACGCTTAGCCGGCCAAAGCCACTTGTCGAGTTTGCTAACAAGCCAATGATACTCCATCAAATCGAAGCCCTGGTCACAGTCGGTGTGCGAGAGGCAAGTACATTCGCCATCTTGAAATCAACAGTTTACCATGTCTTTGTGCACCTCTAATCGCCCCTCTAGCTATGTGAMTTGTTATTTGACACTTCTGTGGTGTTTTGCACAAGGTAGTACCTCTTAGGCCAAATTTCAGTGCACCTGTGCACATTTGTAATAGTTTTTCAATGTTCTGTATTGTATTGCATATTATTAGTTTTGTATTCATAAAAACATATTTAGTTACCTAACTTTATTCATAATTTGAAATTCATATAAATTAGGTTTTATTACTATAACTTGATTTTATGGTACCTAACTAGCTTAAAAATATTATCTTTCATTACTTAACTAAGCCTATTATTATTTTTTGTCTTTTCGATTTTAAATGATTGTTGTATTTAGGTTATATTGGCTGTTTCGTACCGTGCTGAACAGATGGAAAAAGAGATGAGCGATGAAGCAAAGAAACTTGGTGTTCAACTAGTTTTTTCACATGAATCTGAACCACTTGGCACTGCTGGACCTTTAGCTCTAGCCAAACATTTTTTGGCTAACGAACAAAACCAGCCATTTTTTGTTTTAAACTCTGATATTATTTGTGAGTATCCATTTAAAGACTTGATTGCGTTCCATAAATCACATGGTCGTGAAGGTACAATTGTGGTGACTAAAGTTGAAGAGCCGTCCAAGTATGGTGTAGTGATGTATGATGAAGGCACTGGTCGCATAGAAAGTTTCATTGAAAAACCACAAGAGTTTGTTTCTAACAAAATCAATGCAGGCATTTATATTTTAAATCCATCTGTGTTAGATAGAATTAAGTTGGAGCCAACAAGCATTGAAAAAGAAGTGTTTCCGTTTATGGCACAAGACGGTCAATTATATGCATTTAACCTAAAAGGATTCTGGATGGATGTAGGGCAACCAAAAGATTTCCTAACTGGTTAGTTGTTAACTTTTATGGATTTCATGAATTTCTTTAATGCATTTAATATTTAAGTACCTATAATAACTGTTTATTATTTTCAGGAATGTGCATGTACCTGACATCACTAAAGAAACGTAGTCCAACTTTATTGTATTCTGCTGATGGTGTTATTGGCAATGTTCTAGTTGATCCAACTGCCACTATAGGTGAAGGTTGTAAAATTGGTCCCAATGTTACTATTGGTCCAAATGTAACTATTGAAGATGGTGCTTGTTTAAGAAGGTGTACCATACTAGCAGGGGCCATGGTTAAATCACATACGTGGTTAGACTCTTGCATAATTGGTTGGCGATCTGTAGTTGGATGTTGGGTGCGTATGGAAAATACTACTGTACTTGGAGAAGATGTTATTGTTAAAGATGAACTATACATTAACGGCGGACAGGTTTTACCACACAAATCAATCAGTACTTCTGTACCTGATCCTCAAATTATTATGTGATTAATTTTGTTTAATTTGTAAAAAATATTTTAATTATTATTAATTGTTAATTTTTATATCTTCATGTACATAATTGGGTTTTATTTATTTTTATTTATCAAATATTGCACAAAAAAGGTCAATCCTAATTTTTTTTGAGTAAATCCTAAGGCCAAACAAATAGAAAGATTAAAAATTATTCTTATATTAAACACATTATTATAGAACAGCCTGATGTTAGTCACCATAGTTAATAACTGGCCTTAACAGAAGGATTGGATCTTTCAGATTCCAGGGCACAGAGTTATATGATAATAAACATTTTATTATTGCAGAAATATTAAAAAGCTATTTATTTTGTAACCTATCATAATAAATTAGGTTAAGAAGCATGATTCATTCAATACTATGTTAAAAAATAAACATTTATTTTTTTATTGTTTGTTTAAATGTATTTAGTTAAAAACATTTGCTTATAATTATTTCATATAAATYAAAATTATTGAAATTGAAAAATTTCAACTTTTTGTTGTGTACTCAAGTGTTTTTTTTTTTTTTAAATTGATTTTTTTTCACATCTAAACAACAGTTTTATCA